CAGGGGACGCGCCAGGATGCTCGGAGCTCGGCCTGGACAGTGGGCGGCAGCGGGCTGCACAGGGAACCCCTGCGACACGCACAGGCAGACAGCGGCTCGGTGCGCGCCCTGAAAGGCCCCGGGCCGCGATGTCACCAGAGACTCGAGGTCGCACGTTTTGATTCAGGTTTCAGGCTGCGTCACTGAGTCCAACGAAGTCATGACCGACGCTGGACACCCCGGACCCTGGTGGAAGGCTCCCACCCTCCCCAGGAGCGAGGCCCGCGGACACCCTAGGGCCAGCGTCCTGGGGTGCGGGGCTGGGCGCAGCGCGAGCGGCCACTCCGAAGGCCGAGGCCCGTGGGCGGCGCAGCGGGTGCCCAGGGAGTCGGTGCCCAGCGCGGTCCCCGGCCCCATTGGAGCCCCCCCAAGGCGGGCTCCTGGGCGGTCAGCAGGGGCAGGGGCTGCGCGCGCCCTGAGCTTCCGTCACCGCTGCCACCACTGGTTTCTGGAACTCTCCGGCTGCTCCCACCTCCGCCTGGGCCAGAGCTCAGAGTGGAGGCCACTCCAGGCCCGTGCAGGCCCCCAGCATGGCCCACACCTCCTTCCCTCCACGGCCTTGCTGTTGTGACCTTGGGGCGTGACCTCAGTACACTAAAGGACGTTTACTCGAAGTCTGAACCTTGCTTCAGTTTAATTTGTTTATTAGGTTCGGGCAAAGTGCGATGCGTTTCTAATAAATAGCACTTCTAAGGTGATCTGTTTATCAAGTCACTTATATCTCTCACGTCCTTTCTAACAATGTATAGAATCTACTAAAAATGTGCAGAATGATGATTAGCCAGACTGATGGTTTTGGAGAAGCAGACTTGTGATTTTTTTTCCTGCAGTTTTGCCTTTTTATTTTATGGTATTATAGATTTACAATGATAGTGAACTTTAAATCATCTGGTCATTCTCATAAAATATATTTATAATAAAGTGTCTCCTCTTAGATAAACAAGAGTGGTTTTCTGAAAGGCAAACAGAGCCAACATCCGAGGGGCACGGGCACCAGTAGGGGAGCCGGCCGCCACCTCTTCTGTGTGCAAGACACAAACACAACCTCAGTCCCCACTCGTCTCTGTTTCTGCCAGAGGAGTCTCGGGCAGGGACCAAGGCCCTCGCCAGCAGCTAGATGATCTGTTGAGAAGTGTGTTCACACAAAGGCAGCAAAGATCGGCCCCTGGGGTGCTGCACCCCAGTCAGGAGGGGCACAGAGTCTGCAGCGGCCTCCCCAGATCTCCCCCCACAGGGCACCCCAGGAGTTGTTCAGGCCTTCAGCAGCCTCACTGGTCAAGTGGGCGAAGCCTGGGTCCAGTTACCCACACTTTGGTTGGCACCCTGAAGGCCAGACCTAGACCCGAAGGTGCGCATCATTAATTTTTATATCTTCAAACGGGGCCAAGGTGGCCCAGGATACCCAAGCCGTGCTTCTCCCAGAAACAAACATAGCCCCTAAGGACAGAGAACGCAACCCTGTCCCCACTCAGGATAGCAGATCTGCCAGATTACACAGCATCGCCAACACGAGTCGCATGACAGAGGACTAGAGAAGGCAGGACACGACCACACCCACAGAAACTGGACACAGAGTGTGACCCCAGTTCACAGTTACATACTGACAATATGTCTAAGGAAATTACTTTTACATGATTGATAATTTTGGCAGAAAATATGTAATGAACCGCCCTGATATTTAGCAGCTTGGAACTACTACACTTTCACATAGATCATGATTTAGCTCAGCGATCTACGCTGGCCTGGCCCGGGAATCTCAGCCAAGCACACATTCACAGTGGCCCTGTCAGGACACCAGGACAGCTGGGAGTGCACGAGGCTTGGCCCTTCTCCACACTGCCTCCATTCTTCACCCGAATGGCTGCACTTGTTCCCATGCCAGTTAAAGGGTCCTGCTGGAGTACAACAGATGGAAAGCTTCTTGAGGGTATAACTCAGAATTCAGACACCATTTTCACCAGATCCTGTTGGTCACAACGAGTCACAAGGGCATCCCAGATCAAAGGAGAAGGAAGAATTTCTGACCATTTCACAATCTATCACAGCTAGAAACTAAAGAGGAAGGGGAGGAGAGGGAGGGGAGGAGAAGAATAACAGCCAACTTAAAACTGAAACTAAAAACAGAATAAATAAAATTAAACAGTCAAGGGTGAGCTTAAGAGCAGATGAGACACAGTTGAAGAGAGAATTAGTGAACTGGAAAGTCAAGTTAGAAGAAAATACCCAGAATGAGGTATAGAGAGACAAAATGATACAACGTACTTAAGAAAGCTTTAGAACACACAAAATAGAGTGAAGTGATAAGACTGAAAATGGTTCAAAGACTTTTCCATGAGGGGTCAGAATATGAAAAAAAAAGGGACAAAATGCTGATGGTGTCAAACTGTAGATTCAAGAAGTCTTATGAACAACTGTTAGAAAAGAGCAAAGGAAAAAATCTTGAGAATAATAAGAGAGATAAATTATATTTTTCAAAGAAAAAACATCAGACTGACAGCCAACTCCTCAAAAGAAGAAATAAAAGCCACAAGACAATGAAATATTTTCAATTTGCCAAAAGCAAACCATAACCAACCTAGTATAAATAACTCTCAAAAACTGAAATAATTTGTTAGCACACACAAAAAAGGACAGACCCACAATTATAACAAATTTAGCCATTCCTTCCTCAATAACTAAAGGGATAAATGGTGTTATAAAAGGAGAGGTGGCATTTGAATTTATTAGAGTAAGACAAGTAACACACTTTACTTGTGTAGCAACTGTGGAACACACCTTATTGTCAGGGGCATATAGATTGGCCTTTAACCCATGCAGGCCTACAGGGAAATTCTCACTAGATTTGAAAGTGTTGCCACCACCCAGAATGAGTTTCTAACCCAAGTACAACTAAACTAGGAGCTAACAATGAGAAGCACACAGCAGATCTCTAGGTGCCCGGAAATCAAGGTGTATATTTTTTAATACCCACAGGTCAAAGGAGAAATTTCAGTGGAAACTGCATATTCTTTGAACTTCATCCTAACACACTTGTTTCCTATGGCCTCACCTACACCCCACATTTCCTGTGGGCCAGGAGTCTGGGTGTGGCCTAGCTGGACCACAATCCAGGTGCCAGCCAGGCTGTCCTCCCAAGCTGCCTGGGTGCCGGCAGGATTCACAGTCCTCAGCTCCTCCAGGACCCCAGCGTTTCCTGCCACATGGCCATGGCTGGGCATGGCGTGTGCCCACAGGTGGCAGGAGAGCATCTTGCTCCCTCTGCTCTGACGCGCACACCCTGGAGCCTCAGCCGGCACCCACACTCACGCAGGTGTTCCCTGGTGACTGCCCAGGAGCCAGACAGCTGGCCACCTGAATCTTATCTGACAATCCCTTGGCCTCCGTCACATGACAGAACCATTCCAACCCAATCAGCAGGTTCCCAGGCCCACTCCTCCTGGGGTTGTGGGCACGCAGGGAAACCAGGTTTGGAAATCCCCAGGTTTCCGCAGGACTGTCCACCACTCAGAACAGAAATACAAAATATCCAAATGCAGGGTCCAGCCAGAGGTAAAAATCTTAGATGTCTATAGTAGAAAAAAATAAATACTGAAAGTTAATGAACCATACCTACAGCTAAGGTTTTTCTTAAAAGGAGCAAATTAACACCAAAGAAAGAAGAAAGAAAGCAACAATATATACAAACATACAAATTTACATAACAGAGTGAATGTACTCCAGATGGGAGCCACGCAGGCCAGAGTGGTCTCCAAGAAGACTTTGATGCTAATCTAGATGAGAACAGACCCAACACCTGCCCCGAGACCCAGAGGCTCCCTGGAGACCGTGCCTGCTCCTGTCCCGGCCAGGCCCAGGTGTGGCGGCCATGGCTTCCAGCTGCCAGGGTGACAGCCTACGGCCGCCTGCTCCACCTCTGCCTCCCTGCCCTCTGGGCCCACAGCCAGGGGGGCTGACCACACAGAGGGTCCCTTCCCCTGTGGGTCACCTGCACTGCGGCCATGGAGGCTCGCTGGTGGAGAGACTCCCGGGTTCGGGATGGTCCTCCTGCTTTGGATGGTGCACACAGGCCCGTCTGGCTTTGTCCCACTGGACCACCACCTGCCCGCCCGCCCACCAGCTGAGCCTCTGGAAGCAGCAGCCCGACTGAGAGGTGCACAAGCACCCGTCACAAGTCACTGTGGTTCTCCTTCTTGGCCTGGACGCCGCTGTGCACGCGCTGAGGGGCAAAACCCGGGTAGAGCCCACGGCTGTCAGGTGGGAAAAGGGGTCGGTCCACTGTGGCTGTCGCCGATCCAGCCAGGCATCGCAGCACAGGCCAGTCTGGTCACCAGAGTGTCAGACAGAGAAGAGAAAAGACTCACACCGTGCACGTCCCTAGCCAGTGGGACTTGGAGGGACTTCTCCCAGGGTCACTCCCACCTGCTCCGGGTGGCCCTGTGCCCTGCCCACTGCCCGCTGTGCCTCCAGTACAAGTCCCTGTGGGGATGAAGGGTGTGAGTGCCTGTGGCTCCACGGCCCTGCCCAACTCCAGCAGGTTCCCTGAGGGATGGAGGCAGGAGGAAGGAGGCCCTCCAGGGGAGGCCCTGCTGGACCACCATCCAGGGGCCATCTGCAGCCTTTCCCACACCCCGACTGCGGTGTGACCTGCCTTCTCTCCCAGGCATCGGTCACGTTCCGTGTGCCCATTTCCCAGCTTTCTGCAGTTCCTGCCATACTGTGACATTGTCCAACTGACTGTCACTTGAGCAAACAGAACAACCCCTCAGCAGCACCGGCTGCACAGGGAGGCAGAGTGCGACGCCTGTGCTCGGGACGCCTCGGCCTCCTGAGCGCGATGCCCGGTAACTCAGATCCACTCTCTGAGCCACCAGCAGTCAGGGCGGTCGGGGACTGTACCAGGCACCTCACGTCAGAAGTGCCTGCAGGTGTGGCAGGAGTGTGCCTCTGAACACAGCCTCCCGGAGCCACCTCGCCAAAACTGTACCAAAGGTGGCAGGACCAGGCGGAGGGCCGCAGAAGCCCTGCAGACAGTGCTGTCCAGACAGGAGTCACTGCCAAAACGGCCACTATGACTCTCCAGCCCCTCCAGTGGCTCAGAGCTCCAGCAGAGCCCCCAAAGGAACCCAAAGAGCCCAGGGCGTGGTGACACCTGGGCCGTCACGGCTTGGTGCCAGGCAGCCGCCTGCCTCACTGCTGGCCACACTGCTGGCCCACAAAGCCCACCAGATGGCACAGTGCCCTGCCCCACACAGGGGTGTGGAGGCTCTGGGTGTTCAGCTGCCCCGAGGCTGCGGGTCAAATCTCTGCACCCACCTCTCGGGGACAGTTTCCACCTGGACTCTGTCCTTCTCCAAGTGGCCGTTACTTCTGAGAAGTTAGAAAGTCACAAGAAAGAAAGATGCTGAGGACGGGAAGACCCCGGAGCAGCCCGCAAAAACTGCAGGGACGCAGACCGTTTGGAGGTGACTTGGGAATAGAAGGCAGTGATGCCACTCAGGGCTTCATAAAGCTATTTGTTGCATATTCACTTCATTCTAAACCTTTTTTAGGAAGACAGAATGATCCCGTAGCCAAAATGAATTGATGAATCTATAAACTGCAAGAGACACACATGGATTATTAGCAAAAGCACCAGATGCCCATCTGTGTCAGAGAGGGGCCACCTCCTCCAGGCTGGGGGAAAGGAGGCCACCACAAAGCCCAGACTCCTGCACGTCACCTGCACCGAGTGTGCACCTAGCCCGAGCCCCAGTGCAGGTGCAGGTGCGGAGGAGGCGGGGGCCAGGCAGAGCGTGCCGGGGTGTGGGCCCTTGTCAGGAGACGAGGACGCTCTGACACCCATCGTCCTGAGAGACTGCACGAACCCCATCATGCACTTCCAACAGGCAAAGTGGAAGGCGTGCGAATTTCGTCTCCATAAAGCTGTGACAAAAAATAAAACTCCCGGCCCCTTTTCATTCCAGCCTCTTGGTGTGAATGTTATCAATTGATCTAGAATTTAAGTGGCCTGTCTGGAATGTTTGACAAACAATTTTTTCTCATGCATTATACATCGGACTCAGAACAATAGCCACGGTGCCTGGAAGAGGGCAGGTTGTTTCCATCACCCAGGGGTGAAAACTGCAAATTAACCACAGGACGGTTCACTGAAGCAGGTAATGGATTGGTCTGTGCAAACAAGGAATCTTTGTGGGAATGAGTGTGATTATTCCTGTGGTCTGTTTGCTAATTATGGCTAGTACGAACAGTATTTTAAGTGCTCTTAAGAACCATGAAAGTCGGGGACCCCGTCAATGGCAGAACACAGGTGGCTCTGCGAAGGTGCTCAGCGCAGCTGCCCCTGCAGAGGCTGGACCTGCACGGCGGCTGGGGAAGGCGAGCGGCCGCGGCGACCTCCACGCGGCACCGTGTGCTCCTAAGTGGCGTGGGCGGTGGAGTTGGAACCCTCTCCTGGGCTCACTGCTGTGCCCTCCTACTGCGTGCGTACTGGAGTGTCCCCATGCTGGTTTCCTCCCCAGAGGGGACTTCAGGGCCCAGCAGCTGAGCAGGCACAGTGGACGGGGCTCGGGGTCTGTGTTCTTGTTTCCAGGACGCCTCCATCTGCGGGTCCTGCAGGATCTTCCGTGCAGGAGCCCGGCCTTGAGAAGCCCTGGGGCCCTGCAGCCTCTTGCCTGTGTGGCATGCAGGGCTGACAGATTCACCGCGGTCCCTGAGGCCGGCCACCCCTCAGAGGACCTGAGCCCGACCCGGGCCGGGCGCACCAGGAGAGGCAAGGGCCGACCACCTTCAGGGCCTGGGGCCCTGTGGACGTAGGGGAGCAGCTCTCCTGCAGGCACCCCACGATTTGCGCACTTTGCCGTCACCACCCAGGCCGGCCTGGGCCCACATGCCCACAGATCCAGCACAACCCAAATACAGCAGGTTCTTTCTGCCTCCTGCAGAGCCCGAGGCCTGGCCCCAGCTGACTCAGGCCCAGAGCTCTGAGAGCAGAGGGCACACCCCAGAACACAGTGAGGCCCTCCACGCTGTGCTGCTCCAGGAGGCTTCCCGCAGTGGCATCCTGAGGGGCCTCAGAGCCTTCTCTGCCGTCCCTCTGCTAAGGTGCAGACCGGCCAGGATGGGCCAGGAGGTCTTTCACGGACCCACTATACTCTTCTGCATTTGGCCCACATGAAGAAACCCAGCTCTCAGCAGCAGCAGACCTGCGGGGAAGGGCCAGGCCCGCAGTCGGCTCCTCTTGCGGAAGTCAGAACTGCCTGGGAGCCCGGTGGCCCTGCAAGCCAGCAGCACCCCAGGACACTGCAGCCCATGGACACCGACTCCTCAGGGGGCCACCATGGCCTGAGAGGTGGAGACTCCCAGCATTGCCGGCCGGTCACCAACCTCTGTTCTCCTTCCAGCCCAGGAGCCGAGTGTGGGCCAGTCCCCGAGGGAGGATGAGATAGCAGGGTCGCCTCCCCTGGGGACAGCCCAGATCCCTGCCAAGCTGCCGAAGGTGGGCATGACCTCCCTTGTTGTGGAACTAGGGGCCTGAGCACCTTCCTCTGTAATCAGGAACCCTAGGAAACCGGTGTCGGCAGGAAGGTGGCCTCCCCAGGCTGACACCCAGGGGACACGCGCACCCTGCTTCTGGGACCTTGCCCCTGCTCCATGGGCCTCGCCCCCAGCCTGCGGGGGCAAAGGGGCCACGAGGCCGGCCTCCCTGCCCTCCCCACAGACGCTGCGTGCCGTTCCCTTTCCCGGGGACTCTGTGGCTGGCGGGTGTGGGCCACGCAGGCGGAAGGCTCTGTCCAGCTCCAGGGGTGCGGCCTCCTTCCTTTCTGGTTGACCACGTGCCGCAGGTGGCAGAACTGATGCTGGCAGAGGATGTCCAGAGAGGAGGTGGTGCCTGCAAGCCACCTCCGGCTGTCATCGTCCCACAGCCAGTGAGAGGCTGTTGAGGGCACCACAGGCCAGACTCTGAGAATCACCGTGAATTCACAAGGGGCTGTGCAGAAGGCTGTGGGCACCCTGGTGTGGACCCGATGACGGCCCCGAGGCCGGTGTCCAGATCTGCCCCCAGCTGGCCCTCCCTCAACCAGCACTGGGCTCACTGGCTCGACGGCTTCCCAGGAGCTCCGCCCTGCCCCTGCTTGCTCAAGAGCAGCCTGGGGTCAAGATCCGCCCCCTGTGTGCACACGGCACCTCTCGGGGCTTTACCTGATCCAGCACATCCCCTGGCACCAGGGCCCGATGCCCGTCTGTCTGAAGGCACCCCTGCCGACACAGCACCAGAGTCCCCGCCACCCACCGTGCTGTGTCGGTGCCCCACGTGGCATTTCTGCTATTGAAGACCTTGTTCTAAAAAAGCTGGGTTATTTCAAAATTTGAAGTGTTTCAACGTGATCTTCCTCCCTCACTATGATATATCAGCAAGTAGAGAAATAAGGTTACTACCAGCAGCTGGCCTAAATTACTCCTCGAGCTCCTCTTCGTCAACACCCTCTCTGGGTTGCAGAATGTGCATATTTCCTCCGCTCCACATTTGGCTCCATAGACATTGTTATGAGCACTGTATTGTATGGTTAAAAATGTTTCCCTTTCATTTCTGAGTCTTTAATTTTATGTTTGAGCTCTGCATAAAAATAGCTTGTAATTGCTTTTTGACAGTAATAAGCCTAAGATTGTGACTCAAAAAATTGAGATATTATGTTCCTTTGTAATTGTACTCAGTGAAACACGGTTCCATATGCAACTTCAGAACCTCCAACTTGTGCTCCTCGAAGTTCCCCTGACGCCTTGGCGCTGCAGTGCGGTCGGATCCCAGGAGGACCCACATGCTCCACACTTACCTTTAACAAACCCGCTTTTACAGACAGAGAAGCCATCCTTGGCTCAGGCTGCCATGGTAAGGGGAGCTCAGAGCCCCAGCCTTCTCCTACCCCTCTCACACCTGTGGCATCTTGCAGAACAGAAACAGCAAGAATCCAACTCTGATTGCCTCGGAGGAACCTGACCAAGAGTTCACAGCCCCTGCGTGGAACAGAGCAGCGTAGGAGAAAGGGGGACCAAGCAGGCATTGAGCCCGGTCACGCTGAGAGACCAGAGAGGTGCACAAGGTTGCAAAGCAAGTAACGGAAAACGGATGTTCTCCAGGAAAACGGAAATCACACAGAATATTCTGGAAACGTGAGAGAAATCTAAGAATGGTGCCTCACAAGCATCAGGTCTACACAGACTGCTCACCTCGAGGCAGAGGGCCAGGGTCCCACAGACCCTTCAAGGACGCGCCCTCGGGAACCTGAGGCCCCCCCAGCCCCCTCCTCCAGCACCTCCAAACATGCCCCAGGGGGCCACGCTGTGACAGGGCCGGGGCAGAGGCGCGTCTGCAGCCCACAGCCGGTGGCCCACCCAGGGGGCTGTGTGTTCTGGAAAGGACACAGGGCAGGAAGGAGCCCCGTGACTCGGAACACGGGGTGCCGAAGACCAGCAGAGTGTGAACCTCTGCAGCCCAACGCGAGCGCTTCCCAAGCTCTCCACGGAGTCACCAGGGCTCCCAGGGCCACCTGTCTCCTTCCAAGCCCTGCTCCAGCAGCCTCTGGAGATCGCCACTCCATTTGGGAACAAATCCGGAGGCAGAAGATTTAGCAGATTCATGGAGACGTCTATTCGCTTTAAAACCTTGGAAAGAGAACAGAAAATGGTCACAAGGGACACCTAGGAAAGTCACCCTCACAGCACTGCCTCCTGCAGAAGCCCCGCCAGCAAAGGGCAGGAGCCCAGGGCACTCGGGGCCACAGGGAGAGGACACCGCCAGCCCCAGGTGCCAGGAGCCTCTCCTGCAGAAGCTGCTTAACTTTATTCCAGGGAAAGAAACGAGCCCCATCCTCTACAGAGTCTTGAAACTGGGCTAAATAAAGCACTAAAAATGTATTCTGGAGGAATCTGTACGTCCACCTGGGGACGGACCCAGTCACCTGCCGGTTCTTTCCCTCTCTAACGACTGCTCCTGTCTGCCGTTTTATGGCACCAGCCTCCCTCCTGCCGTCCCAAGACTCCCTGAGCTCATGCACCAAGCAAATGGTGCTCAATGACACCGCGCAGGTCCTGGAGGGCGCCTGCTTGAGGAGACGGCCTCCATCTTCTCACTTCCTCCGGGCCTCACGTGTCCTTTCCGGGTGTTTCTGTCTGGGAGGACGGTAAGATGCTCAGCGAGCCTATCTGCACCTGATCCACAGTCAGACCCTCAGGTTCATGGAGTTCAAGCGGTAATACAAATTCTAATCTGTTCTTTCCCAATTTCCCTTCTCCCCAACCCCTTCACACCACTGAGATTTTCCTGCAAACTGTTGGGCTTTTATAATATTAAACCAAGCCTAAGAGAAATCTCACATACTGAGAAATAACAAAAATACGTTTTGGAGATGTGCACGGATGTTCCACAGTCTTGACATCTCTTGGTTGAATTTTATTAGCTGAAATTTCAACATTTTCTGAACGAACCTAACTCAGAAGAAGATAGATCTAGAATATACATATATACAGATCTAAAGTGCCAGGCACCTCACACTGACCTGTTCTCCCTAACACAGGGATCTCTCACGGCTCAGGGGGAGCTGTGCTCCGTGGACTGCAACAGATCCACAACCCAAGGGCAGCAGAGGCCCAGACCTGCTCTCCCCTGTGCCCACCCTGACTACACATGTAAAACAGGCGGCCAGAAGCTAGGAAGGGGCTCAGATGGGGGCTGTCCCTGCTGTCCTTAGCAACTCCCCCACAAAGCAGCCAGAGCCAGCCCTACGGGAAGGCCCAACTACCTCCCCAACACCAATACGCGGCTGGGACCCCGCAGGGCACAGCTCTCTGTGCATCCCCCCAACAACTAGCTGGGCTCCAGAGGTTCCCAGCCCAACTCTGCCCAACCTCCTCCCTCTCCTCCTCTACCTCGTTCTCCGCCGGTGAAACCTGCTCCTTCCTGGCCACCACCACCAAGGTACCCTGGAGGATGGACCACAGAACCAGGCAACCCTATCCTTTAGAAGGGACCCACGCTCCTGTTCCCCGTGAGGACTCCATGCTCCTCCCTTCTTGGGCTGGAAAAGCTTTTGCCATGATGCCAAGACCAGAGCCCATGTACATCGAAGTTAGAATTTCTGCATTAAAACAGCAACACAAAGCAAAGCTAATTTTCTGGAGAAAATTTTTACACATATTACCAAAAAAAAAGGCTTCTCTATATGTGTTTCATACATTAATACCCTTAGATTCAATTTCAATCAATACGAAAAATGAACAAAAATGGCCATGGAATTTGGTTTGGGACCATATTAAAGATTTGCATGTTCTGAAATAAAGTGGGTATTGGTTTAAAAAATTCCAGAGGAAACCACATGGTGTCTCATTGTGAGACTTGAATCACCCAGTGCAGGACGGCTATGTGCCCAGGAGGAGGTAAGGGGAAAGGTGTCAAAATGGGAGCAGGTCGCCTCTGGCAGGGCTCTGTGTGTGTGTGTGTGTGTGT